AAACCCAGATTGGCCCGAAGAATTGGAGCCCAATCGAAGTCCAAATAGTGGCCCAAGAGAGCCGTCCGACCAAAGAGGCTAGCGCCCGGAGGCGCGCCCCGCCGGGCGAGGGAAGCAAAGGCTGGCGCCTGAAGTCACGCCCGACCGGGCGCGAGAAATGTGCCTGATGGAAAAAGGCGCGCCCGATCGGGCGGTGCCTCGCCCGATCGGGCGCGTGTTATTGTTAGGAGTTAATTATTCGACGTTTAAGTTTGTTTTAATTGAGGATTCTTACGGAGTATAAATACTTTCCCGTAAAACGAGTTTAGGCACCTTCTTTTACTCTTTCTTAATTATTTCTTAGATTTTCTCTCTCTACTTAGATTTTAGATTAGTTTCTCTCTCTTATACATTGTTCTTAACTTATTCTTAATTCCAGATTTATTTGGTAACGATTTCTCTTCTCTTAATCTTAGTTATTTATTTTATTCCTTTGATCATGTCTTGTTTTATTGCTTTGATTAGTTTAGTTTTTATTATGTGTGAGTAGTTCTATTTCTAGGGTTTATGGGGATCCATAAATAATATGAAGGGGTAATTTATGGTTGTTAATTGTCAATGCTAGATTAATTTCCTATTGATTGATTTAATGCTCTGTGACTAGATTTGCGCAGATCTTTTATGCATAAGTTTAATAATATTGATTCGAGATTCGACAGATGAGAATTAATGTTTAGGTCTAGTTTCAATAGGCAGGTTAATTTATAAATGGTTAAGTCGAGATTCAAAAGATGAGATTTAATACCGGTAAATTAATTGTGTGATTGTAATACGTAGCGAAAACCCTTTATGATTTGATTAATGTATGCATTGATGATTGATTATTGTGTTTTACCCTGGAATATTATTTATTGGTGAACCTATGCCCTAGATCCTTTTATTCATTGTTTTCTCCTTATTCTTATTCTTCGTAGTTTAGTTTCATATCCAAATTTACATATTGGTTACTTTATAATTTAGATTACTTTAATTAATTAGGAATAGAAAGACTCGTTTCTCTGTGGATTCCCTACTTCCTTATCTACATTAGTTAGAGGATTTATGAATTACTTTTGATTAGGGGATACGACTTTACCCTGTCAGGTGGTGCGATAAAAGGGGATTAGAGGGTTAACAAACTGGATGGTGTGATTGGAGGATTGACAAATTGGGTGTTATGATGGGTGGTTGATGTGTCTATTTTATATAGTATTTTACCCCGTCCCTTGGTCATAATTGGTAGTGTTTTTGGCTCTTTATAGCCACTTTTATTACTAATTGATGTTTTCTAGTGCGTAGATTTGGTTGAATTTTGCAGGGAATTACACTTTTGGGGTATTTTCCCGAGATATTTTGGAGCAATCACGAACATTGGAGAAGCACGATCAGATTCTATAGCCCAAGACCGGTTAGAGCCATCAAACCGGTGATTAAGGGCTCGGTATAGGTGATACCGGGGCATTTGGACCGAGTATTCAAGACCGGAAGAGGAAACCCAGATTGGCCCAAAGAATTGGAGCCCAATCGTATTCCAAATAGTGTCCCAAGTGAGCCGCCTGGCCAAAGAGGCTGGCGCCCGGAGGCGCGCCCGGCCGGGCGGGAGAAGCTAAGGTTGGTGCCCGGTGACACGCCCGGCCGGGCGCGAGATTAGTACATCGAGCAAAAAGGCGCGCCCGATCGGGCGCGTGTATTTATTAGTTGACGATTAGCGTCGTTTTAGTTTGTTTTAGTTTAGGATTTGTACGGAGTATAAATACTCCTCCGTAATACGATTTTAGGAACACTCTCTTCTTTTTCTCTCTCTTTTACTCTTTTTTTTACTCTCTTAATTGTTCTCTTAGATTTTCTTTCTCTCAAACCTTGATTCTTAATCTACTCTTAATTCCAGATTTATTTTGGTAACGATTTCTTTTCTCTTAATCTTAGCTATTTATTTTATTCCTTTAATCATGTCTTTCTTTATTGCTTTGATTAGTTTAGTTTCTACTATGTGTGAGTAGTTTAATTCTAGGGTTTATGGGGATCCATAAATAATATGAAGGGGTAAATTATTATTGTTAATTATCAATGCTAGATTAATTTCCTATTGATTGATTTAATGCTCTGTGACTAGATTAGGCCTGATCTTTTATGCATGAGTTTGACAATATTGATTCGAGATTCGACATATGAGAATTGATGTTTAGGTCTAGTTTCAATAGGCAGATTAATTTATAAATGGTTAAGTCGAGATTCGAGAGATGAGTTTTAATACCGGTAGATTAATTCTGTGATTGTAATACGTAGCGAAAGCCTTTTACGATCTGTTAATTGATGCATTGATGATTGACTATTATTGATTTTGCATGATAATTTCTTATTGAATTGTTTTAACGCTTTACAATTATGGCTTGTAAAAGTATAGCAATATTGAATTGATGAATCGAGCTGATGTTAATTTGATATTAAAGGCTATTTTCAATAAGAACTTAGATCTAGTAAATTGCGAGAGCATGTTAGATCTAAGTTGATTAATAAATTGCGAGAGCCTGTTAATCATGTTATTTATGCAATGTCAATGATTGATTATTATGTTTTACCCTGGAGTATTATTTATTGGTGAACCTATGCCCTAGATCCTTTTATATATTGTTTTCTCCCTATTCTCAATCTTAGTAGTTTAGTTTCTTATTCAAATATAAATATTGGTTACTTCATAATCTAGAGTATTTTAGTTAATTAGGATTAGAAAGACTTGTTTCCCTGTGGAGATCGACCGTACTTCCCTATCTACTTTAGTTAGAGGAGTTAGGTATTTATTTTTTAATAGGGGATACGACTTTACCCTGTCAGTGGTGCGATTAAGGGGATTAGAGGATTGACAAACTGGGTGGTGCGATTGGAGGATTGACAAATTGGGTGTTATGATGGGTGGTGCGATAAAGGGGATTAGAGGATTGACAAACTGGGTGGTTCGATTGGAGGATTGACAAATTGGGTGTTACGATGGGTGGTGCGATAAAGGGGATTAGAGGATTGACAAACTGGGTGGTGCGATCAAGGCGATTGGAGGATTGGCAAATTGGGTGTTACGATGGGTGGTGCAATAAAGGGGATTAGAGGATTGACAAACTGGGTGGTGCGATCAAGGCGATTGGAGGACTGACAATCTGGGTGGTGCAATCAAGGTGATTGGAGGATTGACAGATTGGGTGGTGCGATTAAAGGTGATTGGAGGATTGACAAAATGGGTGGTGCGATCAAAGCGATTGGAGGATTGACAAATTAGGTGGTGCGATCAAGGCGATTGGAAGATTGGTAAAAGGGTGCTTGCATCAGTTTAATGTAAGATATATACCTTACTCAAATTAAAATGAACATATACAAGTAAGTGTTGGACTCATAATTTAAGGATAAGTGATTTTTATATAATACAAATACTTATTGAGATAAGTGTATAAAATAAAATTTGAAAGTTAATAGCAAGAGAGGGAGGTCGGAAAAAAGATGGAGATAGACAGAAGTCGGGAGAGATAGAGGGATCGGTTTCTTCTTTCTTTTCCCCTAACCCCTCCCTTCCCCCTTCTAAATCAAGCACAATATATCTTTAGTAAAAGTATTTTTATATAATTCATGTTGACTACGATATAATCAATAAATTTATCATAATTATAAGTCTTAGGGTCTATTCAAATTTACTGAAGTGAGCTGAAATGAACTGAATTGAATTGAACTGATTGGAGCTGAGCTGAAATGAGTATTTTATGAGAGAGGGAAAGAAAAGAACTGAATTAAACTGAATGATTGGAGCTGAACTGATCTGAACTTATTAGAACTGAAATTAAGTAAATGTGAACAGACCCCTTAGTTGTTAAACAATTATCTAAAGATTTTTCTCTTATTATAACATAAATTCTTGTTATTGTGTTATTTTACAAAAGAGGTCTTAGGGCTACAACCAGTGAGGTAAAAATCTTCTACTTATCAGGAAACAAGAAAAAGGTGTTTCCATTTTTTTTATTGTCAGTTTTCAAAATTATCATAATTTTAATAAGTTTATATATTTTTTGATTCATTATGGGACACATATCATGTACTTTTAGAAAACAAAAAACCAAAAAACAGAAAAACACAGCAATGCCAAACGAACCCATAGATTGTTATGATTTGTACAAGAAAAAGTTAAAATAATATTCCGGTGAATCAATAACTATATACTAAAAGACACACTAGCAATGACACGTGTCATCTCCTGGTGTGTCCTTAGTCTTTTTTTTTTAAATAAATTATATTTAAGTAACAAATCTTTACATATATATTATAATAACTACTTATAGAGTATAATAGAAGATTTAGTTTTTTTTTTTTTTGGGAAAATATATAATTTTAATATAATTTGTGAAATATGAAGCTTTTTGTATTTTGGGAAGGTATATATTAATTATGTACTACGTTTACTAGAAGATCATTTTTTTTTTGTTTGAGGAAACAACAAGATCATATATATTTTTTTTCCCTTAAAAAAATCATATTTTTTTTCTTGAATTTATTTATTTTTAACAATTATGTAATAGAAGCTAAAAATTTTTACAATGAAATGCAAATATCAAATCAACAAATGATATTTTTGTTATTTCCTTAGATAATTTATAATCTAAATTTTAATCAATTTATAATCTATAATTAACTATGGACACTTTAATAAATACTGCCAAGTTTGACACATGTTGATTATTCTTAGGTTTTTTTTTTAATATATATATATATATATATATTATTCAGCATTCAAATTATATGATTAAAAAAAATATAACATATTAAAATTACAATGTTAATTTAAATAATAGAAATTACCGTGCATGACACATGATCTAACCTAGTTGATTAAAAGAGTGTGGCCTTTACTTTGAATTATGGGCTTTGGCCCATACCCATAGAGCACAATGTAACGATTATCTAGTGAACTTGTAGTCCATTCTCAAGATAAAAAAGGGATCTTCTTGTTCTTGTATCAGAAAAAGAAAAACGAAAGCAGTGAAGCTAGGGCTTGAATCAACCAACCGAAGTAGGTTTGTTTGTAATTGTACGAGTAACTTATAAGGATGTCGATGGCAAGGGCGATGGCTAGGAAGATGGGGATGGCTTGGAAGATGGGAATGGTGAGGGGTTTACGAGAAGAGTTTGCAGCGAAGAATTGGAAATTGAGCAGCATGGTCATGGATCGAGGGAAACTTGCATCGGTGCAACACCATAGTAATATGCAGAGACTTAGGGAAGAAATCTGGGACGAGGTTGATATAGCCTGTTCAATTGACAAAGAGTGCCCCTATTTATCGCAGTATGAACACCACTGTTTCTGGAACAACGATTACAAGTCATTGAAAGAGTATTTGCAGCATCTTCGGACATTCAACTTGGACAATAAAGATATGAATCCCCATTTCAATCCTGCTGAAATTCAACCATACGAAAACGAATTGGCTGAAAAAACCCAAAAAACAAGCTCTCCAAATCGCTCACAAGATCATCAACCGATTCAACAAGGATCAGGTTGGTTCCTTGCTTTATTCATTCATTTTTAAAAAATTCGTTTTTTAATAAGTTAATTTTTTTAAAAAGCTTATATCCCAATTTTGCCCTTGTTTTAACCGAATATTTTACACTCCTAACTATATAATCATCCCTACCGTTTAATCTACAAGCATATTCTAACGTAATCAATCTTTCATCCTATTTAATACTAGTATTCAATACTATACATATTCGTGGACAATAATGAAGTGTACAGTGTACTGCAATGATTTTTTTATAAAGTATGAATATGTGTTGTAAATTTTTTTTTTCCGCAAATTTATAGATGAACAATCTAACAAATAAAAATTTTCATCTTTTACGCAACAGTACCCCGGAAATGATTCCCGGGGATCAACAGTACCCCCGGATATCAAAAAGGAACTTATACTATATTATGGTGCTTAAAAAACACCCTGGAGAATTACAGTAAATTGCTGCTAATAAAATGGAACGCCATGATACTTACAGTAAGAAAATTAGCAAGCATGAATCCCAAGGACCGTAACCCAGTCCCTAAAGAAGCCAATACATGAAGCAAAATAAGTAAAAAGTACTAGGCAAACTAGAAAAACTTGGAAGAGCATTAGTAAGAAACTAAAACTACTAAATTTATTATTGAGTCATTTTTTTTTTTAAATTTTGAAAAATGGTATTTCAGTCTTTATTGTATTAATATCATTAATTTATTTTTGTTATTTTGTACTGCATTTAGTACTTGTCTCATTTAATTAATTTGCAGAGTATAAAAAGTGGGCAGAAGGTGAAGCTGGAATTTGCGAGGGTGGTGAGAGTAGTTGATACTTATCATCGCTTGGTGCGGCGTATTGTGGTGGAAGCATCTAACCCTGATGCTGATGCTGATGCTGGTATCCCATTCCCGCCAATTATCAGACTGGAAGCCACTTATAATTGGTACACTGGAAATCCACACAGATCTTCTTACCTTCCGCCAATACAGTCACTCTCTTTTTGATTCTCAAGTTGTTTGTGGTGGTTGCATTTTTGGTCAAGATTTTCATGTATTATTATGTGATATTCTGAATGACCATGTTATAGGGCATCTACAGTGTAGGGCTTGATAGGTAGCTTAACCCTATCATGCTGCTAGCTACGTGTTATATAACTGCCGGAAAGTAACAAATAGTTGGAATTATATAAAGATTTGTGTGGTTTACTCCAATAAAATTTGGAGTCTTTGTCTCTTGAAAGAGAGTGCCTATTGTAGATTGAATTGTCATCATTGCTTGCAACAGATTTTTGGCATTAAATGCTATATAGCTTCGGTAATGTTCAATCTTAAGGCTCCATTTGTTTCGATGGAAAACATTTTCCCGGATAATGATTTTCCTCCATCTTTTAATTTTCCTTTGTTTGTTTTAAAAAGGGGCGGAAAACAATTTTCTTTATGGTGGAAAACGTCACTTTAGAATAGGAAAATCATTTTCCTTTTGTAGAGAAGGAATGCCACATTTTCCTGCCTACTCCTTACTTCTCCATTATTCACTCTCCCATCCTTCCTTCATTTCTATTTCATTTTTCATTTCCTTCATAAGTTTTCCTCTAATTAAACAAAGGAAAACATTCTTTGAATCCATATTTTCCGTTGAAAATTGTTTTTCCTAGAAAATGATTTTCCATGAAAATTGTTTTCCTTCGAAACAAACGGAGCCTAAAGGCTTTGTTTCCTAAATCTTTGTATTATCTTCGTCTGCAATTTATTAAGCATTACGATGGCAGTTTGATCTAATAGGGGTTTACCTGTTTGTAACTAAAATTAACCTAATTATAAATGTTGTAACTAATTGGGGTCTGTGGTGGTGATGATTGATAAATATTTTGTTTGGCTAGTGGTCTTATACTTTGGGACTCACCAAATCTTTTGGAGTGGTCTAATACTTACAAAAGTAGCCTTATGCATGTTTGCAGTCACTACATCTATTATCTATCATCTGTTTTGGGAGGTATTATTTTCAAGCTTTGAAGAGTATTTGATCCATTCAATCAGGGGGTATTTTCAACTCAGTTCATCAGATTTATTGCTTGTCTGTATATGTCTGTATGTATGTACTCATGTGTGTGTGTGTTACTTTTTCCCTTTTGCACTTGGTTACACAAGCTTCTCTGTAGAATATGTTTTTCTTTTTTGGCTTGGTTACACTTGCTCCTCATAGAACTAGATTAGCTTGGTGCCTTGGTGGATTTTCATACCAAACAAGTGATATCATACACACAAGAGCTTCATTTCTCAATCATGGCCTAGTGTCTAGTGGTGGAAGCTTAGATACTTTGTAGCTCAAGTCTACTTCCTCCGTTTCAAAACAGTTGTTACACTTTTTTTTTCACGCATATCAAGAAAGCGATTTAAGGTGGTAAACGAGCATATCTTTCAACAAAATTTTAATACAAGTAATATAAAATCTCATTCTTGCTTGTATAAAAATTTCGTCAAAAAATATGCTAATTTACACCCTTAAATCGGCGTCTTGATATGCGTGAAAAAAAAGTGTGACATCCTTTTTGAAACGGAGGAGGTATTCGAGTTCCATTCCTTACTTCCCTACAAGAAGTGCCCTACTCTACTAGTTAGCCTTTGCAGCAGGGTAGAATAATATATATAATTCCCCTGTTTCTCATTAGTTGCAGCATCTGCCAAAGTTGGATGATGCACAATAGATGCCACTATTGTCTCCCTGCCTTATTTGGATCTCATTTCTTTCCAGTTTCCACCTCTCTCTTCATCACATGCCCCACTTTAAAAACAAAATTTTACCTAGGAGAATTTGCATAGGCCCTTTGTTGCATGCAACTAGTTGGAAACGGAGAAAGCCCTCTCAAATGGATCTCCTGATAGTTAAAAATAAATAAATACTCCCTCCGTAACATAAAAATGACAACATTTGCCATTTATGGGTGTAACAAAATAATGGAAACGTTTCTATACTTTCCATCTTTGGTAAAAAAAATCACAAAAATTACGACAATGCCATTACTTATCAAATTAAAATATTAATAATAATTCTTTAATTTTCATTACAAATTAAACTAAACCTCATTAACCAAAACTAATTACTCCTAATAAAATAATTACCACCATTTACTAATTACCACTAGCCACCATTGCCATACCGCCCACCAACAACACCACCATTACTTCCACCGCAACATTGACTCCACCACCAACACCATTGGCATCCTTTGTCCACCCATGTCACTGTCATCCTCTTTCCACCCTTGTCACCATCATCCTTCAAACTCCACCCTCACCGTCAGCATCCTTCGAACTCTAAGACAACCGCCATTGCAACCACAACGAACTCCATAAACCTTTGAACTTCAAGCCTGGGGTATTTAGGGTTGCGAATTGGGGGTGGTTAGGACCATGAATAGAGGGTGGTTAGGGTAAAGATTTTGGGGTGCTTAGGGTGAAGGTTTTGGCGATGGTAAGGATTGCGAATTGGAGGTGGGAAGGATGGTTAGGGGTTTTGATCGAATTGGCTGCGTGAGTGGTGGTTCTGCGTTTTTGGTCTGGTGGTGATGTTGAGGTCAGTGGCGGCAGCGACGGCAGTAGTGTTGAAGTGGTGGTGGCAGCAGCATTATGTGGCAGCGTGGTGGTGGTGGCTGTTTCAAATCTTCTCTCACTTTCTCTCCTCTAAATTATGTCTTCACAAGCTTTACTAAACTATACCCAAATCAATGATTAAGAAATTTCTTCTGGGAAAGAGTGCTAATAGAAATATACAATTGTTGCCATTTTTATGTTATGTAGGTTGTGTTAAAGTGCAGTGTAGTAAAAAATATCCTCGGAGGAGTGTACTACTAAGGAGCATTGATATGATGATATCCACGTACCAGACTTTGCTTCTAGATTTAATAGAACTGTAATAAATATCTGGATAGGCTTGTCATTGATCTGTTTACTTTCTATTACTATTGAGTAGTGTTCTGAAAAAGCTTTCAAAACTGCTTTTGAGTAGTGTTTTGCAAAAATCTATAAAAATTAACCTTTAGGAGAGTATATTTTTTGGTTTGTTTGACTACTTCAACAACTAGTTGTGCCGCCTCTGTCAGGTAATCTTTTTCAGCTACCCGCTAAATAGTAGACAACTGACAGTTATGTACTACAGCACTGAATTTTTACCAACCCCAGTGAAGGTGATGAGGATGTATACAATTGTAACAAGTAGAGACAGGTAGAATTACACTTCCTAAATAACCCGTAGAGAGGAAGAGCAATTACACCAAATAATTAAGCAGCAAAACAAGTTATGCAATTCAATTTTGCATGAAGTGGCAAAAAACTATCTCTAATGAAAGGGAAGACAGTCTTACAGCACAAAGGATTGATTTCACAATAGAGGCACAGACGGGACCAGCTACATTCATGGACTGAAATTGCTTCTGCAGTTGCACATCCTGTGAGGAATTACAGCATGAACTCCCATTGTAAGGGCAAAATTTCAAAGGGTTCTTCAAAGTTATAGGATAACCTAAAAAACCAAGGAAAAAAATCCACACTAGATGAGATTATTTTAAGATACCATAATGCAGAAACAATTGAAAAGCGAAGAAAGATGAATGAAAGGACTCACTCGAGTCAATGCAAAGAGGATGAGATGACAACTTATCAGCAAGAAATAGCACACTAAAAAGATAGAAGCTGATAGTAGTAAATGGAACACCCATTTTTAGAAATAATGCGCAAATAACGTCAATTCTCTACAATCCAAGATACTAACAGACACCGCCTTCTTTCTATCAACTCTTGAAGATTCTACTAGAAAATGAAACCCCCATGATTCATGATTGGTGAAGAAACTAAAAAGATACAGTTGATTTAAGATTTTATACAGAATAAAATTGTATGGGTTTTCAATAATTTTAATTTGCTCAGATCATACAAACTCTAAACTTAAGTCATCATCTTCTATGATTGGTGTATATGATTAATATAAATATATTAAATCTCACTCTTGTCTACATTTCAATTCAGCTCCTACAAGAAATTCATATTTAATACCAGCTATTCGCCTATTCCAACCAAACAACCCAGCCCATATAAAATCTTACAAGTTGACTTCGTCCAATTTTCAGAGTAAAAAAATGTATTAAATGTAATTGTTTTATCTAGGAAACCAAATTGTATGGATCATGATTGGTTCACTGTGTTTTGTGCAGGTATTTAAATGCTGATTTTATGGTAATATTATATTCCTACTAGTTTTTTTTTTTTTTTTTTTGACAAGACGAACTAAAAAAACAAAAATACAACACAAACAGAAAAAACTAGAAAGACCACAATAACAGATGACGCTGACGCGCTTGAGTTGCCAACCAATGAGCAGGAGCTACCAACTGTCGAGGAACCTTCTGAACAACACAAGACGAAAACCGAGAGACCAAATTCCTGATATCTTGCAACATCCATAAACAAGAAATATCCCGACACCCGTCATTACTGAGGAAAGATAACAAAGACGAGCAATCCGTATAAATCAGCAGGTGTTGAAAAGCAAGATGATCTGCTGCCTGTAAAGCCCAGAAACAAGCCTGCAACTCTGACTGAAAGGCCGAAGAAGAAAGGAATGCTCTAGAACCCCCTCCAAGAACAGTAGCAGAATGTGGAGATCTAAAAATCCAACCAGCCCCTGCAGTATTATCACGGGAGTTGTAAGCACCATCGATCAAAAGAAAGACATCAGCGGAAGAATCTAAAGATCCCATAAGATAACATGACGAGAGAGGAGGTTTCCTGATAGAGGCAACCCTAGTAAGACGAGCAGAGGCCCTAAAATCATCGACCGCAGAACATCGAGAAACCCAGTCCTGCATAATATGAAGAATCACAGTAGGAGAAATAACAGCATAACGAAAAACCTTGTGATTCCGAGCTATCCAAATGGCCCAAAAGAAGGAGACTACGGTGATTAACGTGTCCCAAAGTTTATTCTGCCGCAACTGAGAAATCAAATCCGTAAACCAGACGTTAAAATGAACGTCCCAACGAATGACAAGAGACGAAAGCAGAGGAACAGACGTCCAGATATCCGAAACAAAAGAGCAGTCACGAAACAGATGATCAACAGACTCATAAGAACCACGACAAAGAACACAAGTAGTCTCCACTGGGATCCCTCGCCGTTGCAGAATACCATTGAGGGGGAGCGCATTTTGAAGGAGCTTCCAACAGAATAATTGTAACTTTGGCAAAAGCGGCAAACCCCAGAAAGCCTTCCACCATGAAGAGGTTAAGCTAGAACCCCTAGAAGAGTAGTCGAGATGACGTAACAGCATGGCGTAGGCTGATTTAGTAGAAAAAACCCCATCCTTAGAATATTTCCAGTATACAAAATCATCCATCGGTCTTCTCGGGCGCTCAAGAGCCAGAATACGACCAGCTGTAGAGGAATCAAACAGCTGATGAACCCGAGAAGTATGCTTCAATTAAGAGTTGAAAAAGGACAAAAACAGCGGCAAAAAGAAGGAATTTAAAATGCAAAAAAGATAAATTGCACGAGGCTAATGCATCACAAGATATAATTGTATCAAAATACTCAAAAAATGCTAAACTATTGAATAGAGAATCACCTAACACAGAAAGAGCAAAACAGTCAAAAGAATTGTATACCAGCAGAAAGTCAAAGGAGAGAGAAAGAGAATCCGGGAAAGGAGGGCAGCAAATGGGACGAAATCTTGGGTGTCTGCTTCTTGTCTGTGAAATGACATCATATTGGTATTTTTGTGATTTTGAATTATGCTGAGGTTACACAAAGTATGAAGTATGAACCTTGCAGAGACCAAGTAACAAGCAACAAATTGTCCTATTTAACTCTAATTGATATGGTAGTAAAATTTTAACCCACTTACCTGACTTCTCCGTCTTGCTCCCCTCTTTGAGTAAGTTTTCGAGACATCATTTCAGCTTTGCTGCGATTATAATTATATCAGCCTTCGTCGAGAAAGTGGTTAAATTTGATAGAGAGTGAGAAGAACCATTGTGGATGCCAAAATCTTGCCACTTTACATAAATAGAAAAATAATGATCCAATGCCATATCATGAATTTATTTTTTTATTTTTTTTTTTCATACTGTGCCATTGAAAAGAATTGATTTCGAAAAGTTCCATCAATTTCTGAAGCATATGAAAAATCCATTATTCTGGTCACAACTTTCAATTATGATAGAGTGAGTTACTGCTTCATATTACAAAATATAAAGTAGACTATGGTTTACCTCATAGTATAAAGCAAATGGTACAAGAATGTGCCAAATATGTAATTCATATTTACATGAACTGAGAATCCTGTAGTGTCAGGTGGAATACAGAATTTCCATCAGACATTAGAAGAGACCGAGGATCATACATTTCTATGGAGTGCAAAATGCGGAATAATTATAAGAGAAATAACAAGAACCAAACTTTTCCACACATTCAGAGAGACCAATTTCTTGGTCACATATTGCTTCCTAACTGCCTTCAGGGCTTTAGAAACCTCCTACATATAACGCGTTCATAATAGCTTCTAGTCCTCAAAGATAATACTACGGCAAAGAGAGATCCCAGGAAAGTAACAGCTGCCATGATGAAAAAAGACAGCATAAAGCAATGTACACCCACACAAGTATTGGTTTCGCTGGATGTTTCTTTATCATAGATATGACCAACCACCCTAACTGACAGAATGTATGACCCAAGAGGGCCTGCTATAGTAATAGTATTGAATATGGTTCCCATATTTACAACCCCAAATAACTCGGAAGCAATGGTTGGCATCAAAGAGAGCTGTGACCCATAACAAATGCCCACCAAAATTGAACCAGCATAAAGACACCCGGGCATACCAGAAGCAATCACCAAATGCCCTATACTCATGATTCCCAAACTACCAGCCATGAATAGAGGCCTTGCCCAGCTTTTCATATGAAGGATGTAATCTGATACATATCCACCCCCAAACCGCCCAAGAGAATTCCAAATACTCCACAATGAGACAAGAGTTGTGGTTTCTAAAGGTGTGTAACTAAGAGCCTCTCCAATTTGGGTGAGATTGTTCAATGTTGCTAGCCCAGATCCAAGTGCACAGGCTGTGGCTAAAAATAGAAGCCAGAAATTCATAGTCCTCATGGCTTGGAACAAATTGAAGTGTCCTTCCAACTCTGATGGCCTACTACTCGCTTCTGCATCTTCCTCCGGATGTTCTGACAGTCTCTGATAAGAGGTATCATCTTCTCTCCCATGTATCTTTTCAGGGTCTACCTGGTCAGTGACTCCCTCAGAGGATAAGCTCTGCTGAGCTCTAAGAGCAATCCACAGGGGTGAGGCGAGCAAGAATAGCAATACAATAACTATGAGGATATGAGCTAATAATTGAACAGTAACCACATTCTCCAAGACAATAACAACCACTAGATATGCAGAAACTACCACCACCACCCATGAAAAGTTGTTAAGATGTCGTCTTTCATCTACAGCATTAGCATCATAGATTTTCACAAACCACATGAGCAGTAATGGATTTACTGTAGACAACAAGGAAACCATTAGAAGAAATGAAGCAGGATTTCCAGGGAATATGGTTCGATAAAGCTGAATCAGCATCGCTGCACTCAGACCCAGAAAACCCTGAAATGGAAAATTGTACCCGTCTTAGAAATCAAACCATGTGTTACAAGACTACATGCAAATGCAGTAGTTCATTTGCTAACATGGTTAACAGAAAACATCAAGCAAAACCTGGGAGATCACGAATTAGATTGATTAGATTCAGCAATGCAAAACATTTTTTTTTTTTTTAAGATTGATCAACACTATAACAGTGATATATTGATGACAGATTGGATTTATGAAAATAATCAAAAGCACAGACCACCAAGAAAATGAAAATAAACCAAGATTAACAACATGCATAGAATATTATACAATTCAAACAACAGTATCTAGTTTACTGAAGAACTTAATAAAAGCATTATACAATGGGACGACACAACTTTACTTAGATGGGATGACACAACTTTACTTAGATTGTTCTTTCCTTCAAAAAATCCACGGGATCAAGAAACAAACTTGAATGCTGGAGAAAGATTAATTTTTTGTAGTCTGCATTAGGAAATCTTGGGAGGTTACTGCAGATCAAATTATAACGAAGTCTTCCCTTTAAATTAGAACTTCGTGAGGAACCTGCAATTATTGTCTCATGTTTGTTTTCCAGAATTGCCACAAAAAAATAAAGTTTTTCATATGTCTCTTCAAAGCATTTTTAAGAAATAATTCACCATTAAGCCATGTGATAATTGCTTTGAGATAAAAGGCCCAGTAAAGCTAAAATGGAAAATTGCATAAACATCTAGAGCCTGCCCAAAGCCTCAACAAGTAACTTTACTTTAATGTTCAGTCCAAGAAGAGCCCAAAGCAACTGATGACAGTGAGTTAATGTCTACATAAACAGACAGCAAACATTCTTCTTGTTCTTCAAGCATAGAAAGTTTAAAGCACACCATGGAATTTGGAAAAGAAGATATAAAGAAAAAAAAAAAAACCAGTTGAGCTAATTATCATGCTTGTTTATTCACGATGATCATAACACAAGGGTTGTGATTAACGAATTGCTAAACACAATAATCATACTTTTTGCATATCTCCTTGGTCACAAATATCACAATGCCTTATTCCCTCTCAATCTCTCATTTTCTTACTTTCCAGTTACTCCCCTCTATTCCATCCCGTCTCCTTCATCTCCAGTTTTCCTTTTCACTCTAACAAACAAATGAAAATTAATCTTCAATTGCATCTTCTGTTGTTAACATTTTCCGGTTGAAACTGTTTTTCATGCATCCAAATAGAACCTTAAGGCCACAAATCCACTAATACCTTGCAAATCCACACTCTACTACTCTAGAATACATTTTCTAGTATAATGTTTTCTCTACCCTTATGACTTGCCAAAGCAAAGGAATAATAAAACTACTTGGAATTCTCCATTAAGGGTAATATGGAAAACTGGAGAAGTTAAAGTTAGGGGTACTAATTGAGTTAAACAGCTATCAAACAACTTGAACTCGACTATAAACTATAAACTTGAGCAAGCAATAACTCGACTCAATAATCTCATGAACAATTCAATAGAAAAAATAGAAAGTTGACACTTAATATTCCTGTAAAACAATAAAATGATGAAAGATTGAAACTTTAACGAGCACGAATCAAGCAAAGTCATCATCGAGCTTAGCAAGTAGCGAGCACACTTCAATTACTTACTTAAGTGGTCAATCATAGCCCGAAATTGGCCAAAACTCATAAAAAATTATCAAAGTACAACAATACATTCAATTACATAATCAACCACCAATCACTAAACAAAACATATAATCAATCAAAAACATAAAATTAAGCTAAGTAACAAAAAAAAAAAAAAAAAAAAAAAAAAAAAAAAAAGAGGGTAAATGTAAACCTTCATGATACCAACAGCAGTGCCACTATAATCCCGGAAATTATGAACAGCTGTAACGACATCCGCGGTATTAAAGAAGGGCATAGCATGTCCAGCCAAGAACAAGAAAAAACAGACCACCGGAACCGGTGGCCGGTAAATAATTCCGGTCACCGTTAACCAAATCAAGAAATAGCCAGTAAAGCATTGGATCGACCCGGCTAAGATAGCCACCTTAGGACCACCGAAGAACGACCGGCGATAGGCGGTGGCGGCGTAAAGTACGCCGGCGAGGATGCCGACGTTGGCACCCAAGTCTTTGAAAAGGGCAACAGTGTCAAGGGTAGTTTGGGAATAACCTTGGGAAGATTTGAGGGCAGGAGAGTAAATACCAAAAGTGGATGGTGTGCCACTAGTTGATTGAATCCATATACTTGCTACTGTTGATACCCATTTGTTGTTCATCATTTCCATGATTTTTTTCTGGGTTGATTAAAATCTATGTTTTGATTGGCAAGGTATCAAGTGTAAACATATCATACAAGAGTACAAGATACAACGGATTTGATTTGATATTGACTTGTTAATACTCCCGGTTTGGAGAGTATTTGTCTATTTGACACTTTCGTCACCACGACAATTTAGTGTACAAGCACTCAAGCACTTAAGGATGAGTATGGAACGGGTATCCGTACCGTTAGTACTAATGGTTCGGGTACCCGATAACCAAAATCCCTAAAAGTGATATTCATAACCCGGATCGATAAGTTTGGGTATCTGGACTTCGGGCACTCGGATTTTCGGATCGGTTATTGGGTACGCAGTAAGATATCCAATAGTGATAATTAAACTTAAATATGTAGTTATTATGATATAATTTACCACTTATTAACAACAATATCATATGATTTTGACCAAATTATAAATAATATTACTAATCATTGATATTATGAAGTAAAGTAAGAGTTTAGATTTTTTAAAAATATATTTAAGTAGGGAAAAAAAACACATATTGGATCGGATCGGGTAAATGTTAATTTTAAAATGATACCCAATTAACATATCCGATAACAAATTATCGGAACGGGTACCCGAACCGTTATGGTTATCAGATCGGGTACCCTTATTTTCGGAACGGTTACGGAACGATTTTTCTGGTAGTTTTGCTGGAGTACATATTATTGTTATCGGGCCTTCGAGCTTCGAGTGTACCTTTCTATAGGTGCATAGGTCTTTTCGTAAATTCGCATAACTCTCCTTTCTTTTTTTTTTCTCCTTTACTTTTACAATTAAAAACCTTTAACTTTTACTATCTCGTCGTCTCAAATTATGAATTTAACATCAAATTAGAGGTGATAAAAAAATTTGGGTCAGACCGGACTAATCCTTAATATCAAATGTCATGCCCACACCCGATTAGTCCTTAATATCAAATGTCATGCCCACACCCGTAAAAAGTGGATTTTTTCGCAAGCTTTAGCAGGCTTTTCGAACTATTCAAATTGAGTTCAAGGTTTTTTTTTTTCGGATTGAGTTTAGGGTTTTAACTATATGAGTGTATATTGGCTTGCCTAAACCATCCTTTTTTTCCAATGGATTGGGCCGGGCTAACAGGTCGAGCTAATTGATCACCTCTACTTCAAATCTAATATATATATATATATATGATGTGTCTATTTTATATAGTATTTTACCCCCGTCCCTTGGTCGTAATTAGTAGGGTTTTTGGCTCTTTAGAGCCACTTTTATTACTAATTGGTGTTTTCTGGTGTTTTCGTAGATATGGTTGACTTTTGCAGGGATTTATGCTTGTGGAGTATTTTCCCGAGATATTTTGGAGCAATCACGAACATTGGAGAAGCACGACCAGATTCTATAGCCCAGGGTCGGTTAGAGTCATCGAACCGGTGATTAAGGGCTCGGTATAGGTGATACCGGGGCATTTGGACCGAGTATTCAAGACCGGAAGAGAAAACCCAGATTGGCCCGAAGAATTATAGTGGCCCAAGTGAGCCGCCCGGCCAAAGAGGCTGGCGCCCGGAGGCGCGCCCGGCCAGGCGGGAGAAGCTAAGGTTGGCGCCCGGTGACGCGCCCGGCCGGGCGCGAGATTAGTATTAGTAAGCAAAAAGGCGCGCCCGATCAGGTGGTGCCTCGCCCGATCGGGCGCGTGCATATATTAAGAGATGATTAGCGTCGTTTTAGTTTGTTTTAGTTTAGGATTTGTACGGAGTATAAATACTCCTCCGTAATACGATTTTAGGACTCTCTCCTCTTTTCACTCTCTCTTTTTCCTTATTACTCTTTCTTTACTCTCTTAATTGGTTTCTTAGATTTCTTTCTCTTAAACCTTTGTTCTTAATCTACTCTTAATTCCATATTTATTTTGGTAACGATTTCTCTTCTCTTAATCTTAGTTGTTTATTTTATTCATTTAATCATGTCTTGCTTATTGCTTTGATTAGTTTAGTTTCTACCATGTGTGAGTAGTTCTATTTCTAGGGTTTATGGGGATCCATAAATAATATGAAGGGGTAATTTATTGTTGTTAATTATCAATGCTAGATTAATTTCCTATTGATTGATTTAATGCTCTGTGACTAGATTAGGCCTGATCTTTTATGCATGAGTTTGACAATATTGATTCGAGATTCGACAAATGAGAATTGATGTTTAGGTCTAGTTTCAATATGCAGATTAATTTATAAATGGTTAAGTCGAGATTCGAGAGATGAGATTTAATACCGGTAGATTAATTATGTGATTGTAATACATAGCGAAAGCCCTTTACGATCTGTTAATTGATGCATTGATGATTGACTATTATTGATTTTGCATGATAATTTCTTATTGAATTGTTTTAATGCTTTACAATTATGGCTTGTAAAAGTATAGCAATATTGGATTGATGAATCGAGCAGATGTTAATTTGATATTAAAGGCTATTTTCAATAAGAACTTAGATCTAGTAAATTGCGAGAGCCTGTTAGATCTATGTTAATTAATAAATTGCGAGAGCCTGTTAATCATGTTATTTATGCAATGTCAATGATTGATTACTATGTTTTACCCTAGAGTATTATTTATTGGTGAACCTATGCCCTAAATCCTTTTATATATTATCTTCTCCCTATTCTCATTCTTTGTAGTTTAGTTTCTTATTCAAATATAAATATTGGTTACTTCATAATCTAGAGTATTTTAGTTAATTAGGAATAGAAAGACTTGTTTCCCTGTAGAGATCGACCCTACTTCCCTATCTGCTTTAGTTAGAGGACTTAGGAATTATTTTTTATTAGGGGATACGACTTTACCCTGTCAATATATATCATCAATCATCAATTAACCTATACTAAAAGCGAACCTAAAGTGACACTTGTCACGATGTTATAAAAAAATTTCTCGCCTTTTTATCTTTCCTTTTTTTTTCTTTTTTTTTTGTTATTTTTTTTTTGCCAAATTTTAATTACTTTCATTTTATAACCTACCATAATACTTATTTCCATTTTGACAACACATTTAATCCAATCATACTCAATTTAAATTTTTTTTTATTATTTTTCAACATATATTTTATATATTATAAATCTTTTAGTTACAAATATACTAACATAGTTTAAAATTAAGGTATTGACATATATCATCATCCAACATTATCATAATATTATTATAATTTTATTTCCTCCGACTTAAAAATTATTTTAATTAAAAATAGGAATAATAATTTTGGTAGGATACTTTGTATAAATCTTACAAATATACATAACGTCTATAAGAACAACTGAACAAAATCATTTGTTGAGACTTGTCTCTTTATTTATTTATAAGTTATGGTTGAATTTGCACATTTTTTGAGACACAACTTTGACCACAATATCTTTTATTAGAGACTATTATTTTGTTACAAATATTTTTTTTTGGATAAATTTGTTGAATTAACACCATTCTTTATAAATTTTGTTGTAAAGTTTAATTATGACCGTGCATGACACGAGATTTAAGGATTTAATTTTCTTAGCGCGTCATGTAGGATTATAAATTTTCGTTGTATCCAGTCAAATAAGAGATTATTATTTTCTTTTAGAATTAATTAATTGAAATGCCATGTAAGCAAAATTGACGAATGAGATTTTTAAGTTTAAACTAATTAATTATAAAAATATTATCTTTTGATATTAGGAATTTTATCTAATATATAACAATTTTTAGCACATAAATAAAATAAATGTTTTTAAAAATTCAAACAAACCGTGTATCGCACGGGCTTCATCTAGTTTATGCTTATTTGTAAAATTAACCGTATTTAAGACTCAATCTGTTTCGAACTTGACTCATTTGCATAGTAAACTAGCTAAGAGTAAACCTAGTTATTGGACAGGTTAGGTCATGGACGGTGTGGGTCAGCTGCGAGTTAGGTAAAAAAGGGTCACATTTTATTGGGTCAATAGCAAGTCAGGCCAATGCGAGTTACGGGCTAATATGGGGTCAATAATAGGCGGGCCAATAAACTATCAATTAAAATAAATGTGGACAAAACTATTATTAAGTATATATGAATACGAAAATATCTATGTAATTTTATTATTTTATTTTTACATTATCTATTTTTTTATCTATTAAATTGGACAAACATTTTAGCCTTATATTAACCCTACCTAATGAGGGTCATGTCCATAATAGACCCTATCCATTAAGAGCCCTTTAAACTTGACTCTGACCCTATTATTATTGGGGTACCCTACTCAATAACCAGATTTAGCTAAGAGTCAATCCAAAACCTAAAGTCACCCACCCAAAATTAACCCAAACATGAAGTAAACGGGTACAAACCTGCCCAAAATCTAAACTAAATAAATTGAAACCAAAACGACCCGAATTGGAATCAACTCAAACTCGAAACAGTAAATGATCCAAGTTAACCCATGACCCAAATAAATACAATTCGAACAAGTAAACACTCGGACTTAACATTGCCTGAATCCAACTTGAACCATAAAATCTAATTTGGCCCGAACCTAACTAGCCCACACTATTGAGCTCAACATCTCTATAATTTACGAAGTGCGAGTATTATGAATTTATGCTTGTTGTTAATCTCCCTTTTAATTTTATACATTACTATATAAAATAGACACACTCACTAGCTCACACACTAACCTAACATTATCCAAATTCGGGCCCAAAAAATAGACCCAATTTGTTAATTGGACCTTTACACTTTAGCGCGCACGCTGAAAGCTCCATTGAAGCGGCTTCTGAGCATTCTCATCTCCAATCTCCATTGAAGCAATTCCTGAGGTAATTTTTTTTTTCTTTTTTAATTATCGAATATATCAATTTCACAGTTTATCGTTAATTGTAATGGATGAACTCATGAACAGGATGTATTTCGATTCAAGTGTGTATTATTTTTTGGGTTTAAGTTTGAATTCGTAATTCTATTATTCAAATACGTATCCGAAATCTCAACACCAATTTAAGGTTTAATGATCATATTATTGATGGTTTTTTCATTAATCTTATGTATCTATCCCTTTCCCTTAATGTTTATCGAAGAAGTTGCTTAATATGATTAAATATTTTGAGGGGTTTCAAAAAAAAAAAAAAATTACATATTTTGAGGTGTCCTTGTTCATGTCACTTTGAAATCTTTTTATGAATTTGACCACGGATTATCAAAATATGGGCGAGTCTTTCATGGAAATAGTGCCTTTACTCGTAATGTCATATTGTCAGCAACTGTTGTGTATGGAATTTGTAGCAAATGTCTTCGTGCCAAGGTACCTACAGAGTTTTGTACTCCTTCCGTCTCTTTATTAATGTCCACTCTCTCTCTATTATGTGAGTAATAATTGATAGAAAGTGGACATTAATAAAGAGACGGAGGGAGTAATGTCGTATGGGCGAGTCTTTAACTTTGATGATGTTGTGGAGCTTCTACCTCTTTCTTTCCACTATTGAACACATTGAGATTCTGGTAAATATGGCTCACTTAGCTTAGAATTTATTATATACACCCGGGTATACGGTAATTTGCTCATTTACTAAATGACCAAAAATATTCAGCTCATTTATTAAATGAGCAAAAATTAATGAGTAAATTACCCAGATGTACACAATAGGCTCTCCACTTAGCTTCCCCAATGATATATAAGTAATAACATGTGGACAAAGTTAGTATATTAAAAGCATGTGGACAAAATTATTACTTCCTCTATTTTTTTTAAAGCATCACAGTGATAGAAGAGAGATAGAGAGAGTTTGTTAACTAAAAAGGAAAGTGATGCAACAAATATGAAACTTTCGTGTTAGGAAAGTGATGCAACTAAAAAGAAACGGAGGAAGTATATTAATAGTGCAAAAGCAAAAACATGTGCCATTAAACAGGTGGAATCTTTATAGGTAATATTGTTGACATTTGTTGGTCTTTGTTGCAGTTGCCAAAAAAAAAAAATGTATATGGCTTAAAATTCCCTAGTATATTACCAGATTGGAATGCTCTAATCATGTAAGATTCTTGTAAGGCAGGTTTACGAAATTGGATCGCCAACTTGAATTCTTCGCTAAAAGTTCTCTTCTTGTGTATTTCTTGTCTAGGAACACAAAATGTCTGATGTGCATCTGAAGCTTGACCGAAGTACCATATATTGGAGTATGTGGTGGAAACTTAGAAAATCTGTGGCAAGTGGTGCTAAACTGCTAACTGCTTAGAGTTTAAGGTTAGCTTTATGTGTTTTTGCTAACTGGAATTGTTTCTGCCCCTTCCCTCTTGAAAGCCCTGCTTTTGTTTTGTTAGTTATATATTTCAAAATAGTGTCATTTTGTTAATTTGTAATCATGCTTTCATTGACACAAACATCAATAGATTAGTGGATAATTTGTAGTTTGTTGTTATATGCTCATTTTGTGAAGATGACGTTATTCTTTTACTTGCTTTAGAATTTTGTTCAATCAGTTTTGAAATTTAATTTTTTTCTGCATTCTGATATGTGTCTCGTACAATAATCCAAATGGAACAGCTGATCAAATTTCACAAAATCCTGTCTAGCATCAGGCAATACTATATATCACTTACACCAACTTTAGGTAGCCAGGAGGGAGAAAAATGATGTCATTGAGCACCATTGGAAGTGTATCCAATTCTTTAGATCTTAATCGTGACATCCATTTTTATCTCAGCTGCCTCCAACTACGAAAGGCTTCACATTTACACATCCTAATTCCTAATGCCCGAGGAAAAAGAGATTGCGGTATGAAACTGTTATAAGCAGGGAGTACTTCCATGCTTTAGATTAAACCTGCTATGCATACTGTACTTTTCTTACAACTTACAAGAGACCGAGACTCTATCAATAATAATCAAAACCATTGTCTTATTTCATTTCTTATGCTCCTATTGATGACATCATTATATCTTATAGAACAAAGTGGACCAAACAACATATGATAGATGAACAAGAACCCTTACATTAAAAGCTTTACTTTTTAAGGAAACGCAATCTTCTTAGCACAACGGACTGGTAAAATGCCTTAGTTCGGAAGAACAATGTTAGAGCAATAAGAAATCCTAATAGGCTTATGAATGCCAAGATAAAGAAGGATACCATGAAACACTGAACCCCGTAGCAAGTATTGTCCTCCCCTGCTTGTTTGTCATAGATATGTCCAATCACCCAAACTGAGAGGATGTAAGTGCCAACCGGACTTGCTATACCAATGGTATTGAAAATTGTACCCATATGCTGAACACCAAATATCTCTGCAGTAATAGTAGGCATTAGGCTCCACTGAGCACCATAACATATCCCAACCAGGGTAGTTCCTATGTACAAATTTCCTGAGAAGCCCAAAGAAATAACGAGATGCCCTGCAATCATGGTTGCTTGAGTGATTGCAACCATCAGCGGTCGTGTCCATCCTTTTTGCCGCAGTAATATATCAGATATGTACCCTGCTCCAAAACGACCTAGGAAATTCCATATTGACTAAAGTGAAACCAATGTATTGATCTTGACTGTATCATAACCCAGTGATTGCCCTATCTGGCTTAGATTGTTTATGGTAGCAAGCCCTGAACCCATTCCGCAAGACATGGAAACAAACAACAACCAAAAGTTTAAGCTCTGCATGGCCTTCATAATATCTATGTTTTCTTCGGCTGGTAGTGGTATTTCATTCAAAGTAATGGATAGTTCATTGTAATCTTTTTCACCCACAAACTCATCAGATGCATGTAAATAATTACTGTCAGCCAGTGGCTCTTTTTCCAGAAGCAGTGTCTGAGATTTTTCCTTGCCAATAGCTTCTAGGGCAATTCTAAGAGGTGAACCAAGCAACAACAATAGAACTACCAGTGCAAAAAGGCGTGCCCATTGTGGAAAGACGAGTACATTTTCCAGTATGATGATGATCATAAGAAACACAGCCAGAATCAGGGCAATTAGTGAGAAGCGATTTAGGTGCCTTTTGTCGTCGGATCCACTTGCTGGACAGATTTTTACCAAGCACATCAGTGAGAAAGTGACTGTAGTTGGCAACAAAGCCAGCATTAGAATGAAGTTACTCTGGTTGCCCTTGAAAAATGCTTGATATATTTGGATTAAAATTGCTCCAGTCAGTCCAAGAAATCCCTGGCCATTAGGGGAAAAAGGAAAGTATCAGTAACTTTATTTGAACTGGAAGTTAAGAAAAGCCATGTATGTGCACAACTTATAACAAATCAAAGTTTTGTGCTGAAAAGTTGTTAATAACTTAATTTGTTATCTACTTGAGAAATTATAGACTCTAGAGTCTTAAAAAGAGTCTCAAGCATTGCTTATTACCATTGTTAATGCAGTTAATCTCTGATTAAGTGTCTTTTATGGCACTAATAGTGTTGGTGCCATATAGACGCCTAGATGAGTTACATTTTGATAGTAGTTTTATTTTTATTTTTGTTTTTTTGAAATATACTGTATACACTCGTAAAATGTTGGCTGTAGCTCATTACTTTCTCTTTTATTACCATTGCTGTCTTTTACTATGCCGTTATATTTGATCTAATATGCATCTTTACTGTAGTTTGTTTCTTAAAAAAAAAAAGTTAGTATTGTCAGATCTTACACTCATAAATGGACGATTTTTTGACCATCAGCACTTAGAATGAATTTCCTTTGATTATTGCTATGTTTGTTACAGGTCTACCTGGCATGATTTCTGACCTTTGTCTAGTACTGTAATATTGTCCATGATCTTTGTGGCTTTTTGTGCAGTGTGGACATAGGTTGCCGGGTGTTTGCCTGTAATTTTAGTTCAAAGTTTGTATTGACTACTAAAGGGTTTATAATCCTTTATTATCTGTTTATTGTGATACAGCTGACTAATAAGACTGCTGATCTCTGGTGAGGTTGATTCAAAGCTTGGAAGGCGTAGATTTGAATGACATAGAAGAGGTTTGAATCCATGGCAAACAAGTAATACTTCCTATGTTCACTTTTAATTGCAACTCTTCTTTCAATTTATTGCTTAACATAAAAAGATGAATTATGAGTAGGTGTCACTCGATGATGTGTTGATGACTTGATGTCTGCTTGAGCTTCCTGCTTTTAGTATCAATAGAGTTGATTTTGGTTTAGATTGTGGGTTTGTGGTCCAGCCAATCTTGTGGAGCTGTAGAGGACAGGCTATCCCAGGAATATTTATATTACATGTCCATTGAGTAAGTTATAAGTAGCCTTCAAAACTGTATTACTAAGTAATATCGCTTTCGAAATTGCTGGCCTATTTGGGTGGCTTACCTATGGTTTATCCGGATTTGTTGACGAGTGTCTAAGGTTGTTGATCTCTATGTGAGATTGTGAGGTGGGACTTGGGAGTCCTTAATTGTTTAACGTAACAATCAACAATTGATAATACTAAGTATACTTTTGCATCTTCGAAATTTTAGAACCAATCAAATAAGTATTTATGATTTTTTTTAGTCAGAAGAAAAAGAGTTGCCCGATGAATCTATGGGTTTCTTATTTGAAAAGAGATTGTTTAGTTAGAGGTATAGGTGTCAAAAATTGACTTGATTGATCCGAACAATATTCGATTTAGATTTCAATTTATATAGATACAATAATTTAGCATGACTCAAATTTGAAATAAACCTAACCTCACTCGACTTTGCTGGACTTGACCTAATTACTCGAATTGACATCTTTAGTTAGGGCATTCAATAGTTTTCCAACTCATCAATTTGCAAGATTTAATGTTTTTCTTTTTACTCTGTTTATTTTATTTTAAAAAGTAAATACAATGTAAAGATTAGGAGCATCTTCTTAGAAAATTGTGCCCTAATCTATGCAAGTATGCAGGAGTAAAAAAAAAAAAAAAAAAAAAAAAAGAAAATTTATTATTTATAAAAGGATTGTTGTCCTTATGGGTCGGAGTAGAATAGCTGAAAGAGGCCATATTATTAAGTATGCCCCCAAGAAATGTGATTTTTGTAGAGTGAAGATTGAATGAATGTTTTTTTAAGGAAGTCATATGGGATATGGCTATAGGATTTATTAGTAACTAAAAAATCTAAGTGCATGAAACAAGACAATTGAACCATCGATCTCCTAAATTGTCTAGTGGTCCTAATTTTGAGAATTGTTGATTTTAATATGGGACAAAGTGGTCCCACTTGAGTAGTTAGTGCATAGCTAAATTATATCCAAAATACAGTATATCCTTTAAAACTTAATAGAGAACTAATCAGAACAAAAATCTTTATCTAGATCTCAAAAAAAAAAAAAATCTTTCTCTTGATAATTTTCACAATATTGATGGGTTAAAGGTACATGTATCAATTTTAATATAATTAAGAAAGATACACAAAATTAGACCCCTTTTTTGCTCCCTTTATTGATAGACAATTTCATTGCCTGCGTTCGTTGGTTTAAAAAAAAAAAAAAAGAAGAAATGCTTTTTCGTAAACTATAAAGTAATTGTATCAATTGTACAATTTTTTTTTTTCTCTAATTTTAAATTTTTATAACCTTTTGTTTTCGTTGATTTAATTAATTTTATCAAATTCATTTCCATTTTGACAATTTGCTCTATTACTATACCTTACACCTTATGGAACCTATAGATATTAGTCTTCTATTTTTGACTTAGTAATAAAGTCTAACGATATAGGTCTTCTATTTTTGACATTGCATTGATTGTAATGTACTGCTGTAGGATATTTGCAGACACATGAAAAACAAACAATTTAAACATATAAATTTAAAAATTAAAACAATTGAGTTCAAATCACCTTCAAGATGCCCACAATGGTCCCGCTATAATCTGGAAAATTCAGCACACCAGTGACAACAGTGGCAGTGCTGAAGAAAGTTGGACCATGGGCAGCTAGGAACATGAAGATGCACATGAGGGGTACAGGAGGCCGAGGGATGAACCCGACAACTGCAAGCCACATTAAGAAGTAGCCTAAAAAGCATTGTATATTTCCTACCGCAAGGACCACCCAGGGCCCGTGGAAGCAATGCCAGGGGTGAGGTCTGGAGGAGGCGGTGACGGCAGCGTATAGGAGGCCAGAAAGGACTCCTACATTACTACCAATGTCTTTGAACACAGACACAGTATCCAGGGTTGATTGATCGTAGGATTGGGAGGATTTGATTGCAGGTGAATATACACCAAAGGCATAAGAACCTCCTACGATTGATTGTATCCATATGCTGGCCACTGTTGCCATCCATCTTTCACTACTGCTCATATTGATATAGGTGATATTCTTACAACTCGTTTGAATAGGATCGAGTTTAGGAAGCCAAGGGAAGAGTATTTTCTTGCTTAAATAACACTAGATGACTAAGATGAGGGAAGGCAGGGGGAGGGTGATAAATACATTTGTTGAAATTATTTTTGCATGCCTATATTGCCCTTACTAGGGAGTGCGACCGGTAACGGGACTACTAATGGTGCGTTTTGATAGCAATGATTGGAGTTGGAGGAAAGGGAGAAAGAAAGAAAGCTGGGCTGACTTAAACATTTTAAAGGATGTGTACTACGGAGTAATTATGAAAATCGAGCCCTAAAAACCCGTAAAAGAACAATTTTTGTAGAGTGAAGGGAGGTGAAGTGAGAAAGGATAAATAGCAAAGGAGAAAAAAGAGATAAGTTAGATGACAGAGTTGTGGTGAGGGTGAGGATGGGGTGATTGTTAAGGCTCATTTTGTCATAGATAAGTGTTAGTGGTTAAAAAAGGAAAAGCCAAGATAGGAACTTGACATCTTTGTCATATGAAAGCAATGGCTTAAAATTCAATTCATTCCTATTCTCTCCAACTTACAATAGAATTTAAGATAAATGTGATTTGTTTCCATTGTAGGTTTCTTTTTTTTTTTTTTTTCTTCTTTCTGAGGTAAATATGGAAGGGGCTATTTAAACAAACAATTTTCACCATTCCTATACAATGAAAGTCCTTGTAACTACAACTTCGTAAAAAGTGTTAGTTTGTTACTTCCTATATGCTACCAAATGATTAATTACTAAGTGCTCCCTCTATCCCTTTTTTTGCACTAAGGACTTATTTTTTGTGAGAGTATTTTGGGTCAAATAGTGAAAAAGTAAGGGACAAATAGAGTAATCAATAGTAACTATAGGACCAAACAATACAAACAAGAAGCCACATTGAAACCCCTTCCTTGAGGGGAAAAAGAATTGATACATACATCCAAGCTTTACAGTTTCAAAGAATATGTAATCTTCTTAAGACAACAAACTTATAAAATGCCCTTGTTCGGAAGAACAATGTCAAAGCAACAAGAAACCCCAAAAAGCTAACAAAAGCCAAGATAAAGAAGGATGACATGAAACAGTGTACTCCATAGCAAGTATTGGAATTCCTTGCTTGTCTGTCATATATATTTCCAATCACCCAAACCGAGAGGAAGTAAGTTCCTATAGGGCTCGCGATACCAATGGTGTTGAAGATAGTACCCATATGTTTCACCCCAAAGATCTCTGCAGTGATTGTAGGCATTAGACTCCACTGTGCACCATAGCATATCCCAACCAAAATAGTTCCAATGTACAAATTCCCCGGAAATCCTAATGAAATAACAAGATGTCCCACAGTCATGGTTGCTAGACTTATTGCTATCATTAATGGTCGCGCCAAACCTTTTTGGCGCAATAAGATATCAGATATGTAGCCTGCTCCAAAACGGCCTAGAAAATTCCATATTGACCATAGAGAAACCAATGTATTGGTCTTCACCATGTCGTAGCCAAGTGACTGTCCTATCTGACTCATATTGTTTATAGTAGCAAGTCCTGAACCCATTCCACATGACATAGCAATAAACAATAACCAAAAGTTTAAGCTACATGTGGCATCTAATATATCCATGCTTTCTTCAACGGGTTGTATCTCATCTGAAGCACTAGGTAGTACTTTATATTCCTCAGTTGCAACAACACTCTCAGCTGGTGATTCGCCTTCCAGAAGCACTCGGTACATATTTTCGTTTCTAGTAGCTTCAATGGCGGTTTTGAGAGGTAATGAGAGCAGTACTATAAGAACTGCAACTGTAATAAACCGTGCCCATCGTGAAAATTCGATAACATTCTCCAATATGATAATGATCATTATAAAGGCAGCTAGGACCAGGGCAACCACAGAGAAATGGTTGAGGTACTTTTTGTCATCCGGTCTGCTTCCTGGGCTGATTCTCACCAAACACATCACTGTGAAAGTGACTGTAGTTGGCAACAAAGCTAGCATTAGTATGAATGTGCTTTGATTGCCCTTGAAAAATGCTTGATAAACTTGGATTGTCATTGCTCCGGTAAGTCCAAGAAAGCCCTGACCATATGAATTACGAAATCACTCAATAACATTCAATTAACAATAGAAGATTACTTATGTAAGCATAAGCTGTAACTTCTGATATTTGTTGAGATAATTTTTTGAATATTATGTACTCTAAGGTCTAGATGACTAGTATGAAGTTTGTGTTCAATTTTTTTTTAAAGTTGAAATAGGCAACCCAAGAATACTTTTATGTAGTTTCCTTGTACAGATCTTTTGGGTAGTCTTTGGAATGGTCTTGATTATCTGGATGACTTGGGATCATGTGCTATCAATGGTGTTGTGGACCGATACGACTCCTCAATATGGGTTTTGTCCAATTTTTAGAGATTAGAGTTAGGAAGACTTGCTCAATATCTGTTTGTTGAGATTTTCTTTGCTTTTGGAGGGACTCTCTAGTGTAGACCTATGGCTCAATCTGTTGCAACTTGCAAGTATGGTTTATGTGTTTAGAGAGATTCGTTCTATAAGGTACAATCTATGGCTCAATCTCTATCTTATAGTTCACCTCCATGGATCCTAGAAAAACTTATATTAGAAATTGCTTGGATTTTGCATGGAAGACATGCTCTATATCTAATTTTGAGTGCTTTATGTGTTTAGAGAGATTCGTTCTATAAGGTATAATCTATGGCTCTTTCAATCGCGACAATCTGTTGGAAGGATGGTGTTATCTAATGTCTTGTGCCATGCTAGCAAAATTGGATTTGTTATACAAAAGCACACAAATACACAATATTCTAAGGGTAAAAAAAATACATATGTAACTTCAAATTTGAATGAACTGACCTTCAATATCCCCACAATAGTCCCATTATATTCTGGGAAATTCAGAACACCTGTAACAACATTAGCTGTACTGAAGAAAGTTTGAGCATGGGCAGCTAGGAACATGAAGAAGCACATAAGGGGCACAGGTGGCCGAGGTATTAGGCCAACAACCGCGAGCCACATGAAGAAGTATCCCAAGAAGCACTGGACTGCCCCTGCAGCAAGGACTATCCATGGTCCATGGAAGCATCGCCAACGATGAGGTCCAGATGAGGCAGCAGTGGCTGCATACAGGAGACCTGAGAGGACACCAGCATTAGCACCAATGTCTTTGAAGACAGAGACTGTGTCAAGTGTGGACTGATCATAGGATTGAGAGGATTTTAGTGCAGGGGAGTATACACCAAAGGCGTAGGAACCTCCCATGGTTGCTTGTATCCATATACTAGCCACAGTTGCCACCCATCGGTTGCCAACGATGTTGTCCATTGCATCTATTTTGTGTTCAATGAAATTCTAATGTTTTTCTTTTCTTTGTTTGAGATTAATTTGAGGGACTTGTGTTGTTCTTCTGTATTTCTTTTCTTTCTTTGAGATTAAATTTAAGGGACTTGTGTTAGTTCATGCACTCATGGAGTAGGTCTTTGGTTGCTGTTTCCACGTTGCTTGGCATTATTAGTACTATAAATTATTAAAAGATTTGATCGTATTAGCAGAAAGATTTGGAAAAATAACCCTTTTCACATAATTAAAGCATAGATAGTACTATTTAGCCATTTTTTTAGATATGCAAGTTGTACACAATATATAAATTAGCTATCGTGAAGCATACATAATTATATTTAATTGTACTTATAATTGAATAATTCTCAAGAAAACAATAAGCAATAATAATTTACGAAAATACGAAGTGTACTTATTTAGTAAACATATACGTGTCCGCACAAGTTTGAGGTGTACTTGAGAATTGTTCTTCATACTCATCTCTTCCTTAAAATGTCATACTTGCTAATGCACAACTTATGAGGTGGAGTCGACGATTCTTGGCAATAGCAATGGCGGTTGCCTTTTGTTATCTATTTAGAGAGCGGTGTAGTTTTCTTAGCACAACAGACCCGTAAAACACCCTTGTTCGGAAGAACAACGTGAGAGCAACAAGAAAACCCAATAAGCTTACAAATGCCAATACAAAGAAGGATACCATGAAGCAATGAACACCAAGACAAGTATTTTGCTCTGCTGCTTCTTTGTCGTAAATATGCCCAATCACCCAAACAGAGAGAACATAAGTTCCCAAAGGATTTGCTATAGCAATGGCATTGTAAATGGTTCCCAGATGCAAAACACCGAAAATTTCTGAAGCTATAGTAGGCATCAAACTCCACAATGCACCATAACATATTCCCACCAAGATTGTTCCTATGTACAAATTACCAACAAATCCAGAACTGATAATCAAATGTCCTACAGTCATAGCTCCTAGCGCGATTGCCATGACTAACGGCCTAGCCCATCCCCTTTGGCGCAGTAGGATATCAGATGTATAACCTGCTCCTAGACGACCAAAGAAGTTCCATATCGACCATAGGGAAACCAAAGTATTAGTCTTGGTTGTATCATATCCAAGCGATTCTCCTAACTGACTCATATTGTTTATGGTGGCAAGTCCTGACCCCATTCCACATAACGTAACAAGAAACAAAAGCCAGAAGTTAAAGCTTCCCATAGCTTCCAAGAGGTTCATGTTTTCGTGACACAACTCGACAACTTCTTCACCCACAAGGCTCTTCTCAGGTTCATTTGAATCAGCATCATCACAAGGTGGTAATGCATCGTCTTTCACGAGCAGTGGGTGTGATTTCTCCTCATTGTTAGCTTCTGTAGCGACTTTTAGAGGCAAAGAGAGAAATGAAAGAAGAACTAGAAACGAGAGAAGGCGCGCCCATTGTGGGAACACGAAAATGGCTTCCATTACAATGATGATCATTAGATATGTAGCAAGAAGTATAGAGACTATGGACATAGCATTCAGGGGGTTCTTGTTCTGAACTGTTTTATCAGGGTATTGTCTCACAAAATATATGAGTGATATTGAGACTATACTTGGCAATAATGCAAGCATTAGTATGTATGTACTTGGATTTCCATTGAAAAATGCTTTATATATTTGGATTAAGATTGCTCCACTTAGTCCTAGAAAACCCTGCTCATATAATATACGAATCATAAATTAGTAAAACATACAATCATCTTCTTGAAATCATGTAATAATAGTAGAAAATCATATTCAAAGTTCATTAAAACATATTTTATAAAGTTGAATATAGACTTCAATGCTTCATTTATATTGAGTATATATATATATATATGTACCTTCATAAGCCCTACAACCGTACCGCTACATTCAGGGAAATTTTGGACAGACGTAACAACATTCCAAGTATTGAAGAATGTTAGAAAATGAGCAGCAACAAACATAAATAAACACATAAGAGGCACGGGTGGCCGAGGGATGACACCAACCACAGCTAACCACATGGAGAAGTAGCCCAAGAACCCCTCGGCCGCCCCCAACACGTGTACCACCCATGGTACGCTATACCTAGAGGACGCCGCAGTGTAGAGGAGGCCGGAGAGAACTCCGGAAGTAGAGCCGATGTCTTTGAAGACCGAGACGGTGTTTAAGGTGGACTGATCATAGGATTGGGAGGTTTTTAGTACAGGAGAATATATGCTAAAAGTGTATATACCACCTAGTAATGCTTCTATCCATATGCTTGAAGCTAATGCTATCCATCTACTATTGTACCTACTAATTACAGAGCTTTCCATGACAATTATTAATTAATTTCAACTTTAGATTATTTTATGTTAAGGATAAGATGGACGAAAATGGAAAATACTTAATTTGGTAAAGTATGCTGCATGGAATATAATCATTAATCAATATATATGGACGTTGTACAATATAATGTTGAGAAACTTTATGTTATTGTGGTTTGTGGATGTAAGTTAATTTGATATAAAATCTTATGCATGGCCTACGTAAAGCATTAAATTATCTGGTTGGGAGGAGTAAAATAATTTCTCTTTGCTTTAGTCATTTTCTATGAGTGGAGAAATTAAAGTGACCACAGATATAAATTCCCTTCTTTTTAGGTCACTTAAATCATAAATTTTTTTTTGTTAATCTTGATGGCAATTATGTAAATATATTGAAAAAGCGTGGTTATTTATTCAGTACTTTTGGTGAGCTGTCTAATTACTGTTTACAACTTGCTTATACTGTTTGGTAAGGAAATTACACATGTACCCCTCAACTAGTACATGAAAATACGCATGTACCCCTTCCCTGATACTTGAAAAGACAATTATACCCTCCGATAAACAAATGGGGAATTAACTGGGTACAACTCAAAAATTTAAAAGTAATATCACCTTACGTAAATCGATAAAAGTTTTTGCAAATCTTTAATCTCACACTAACAAAAATTATAAAAGCGAGATATTAATAATGAACTCATCAAGATGAATCAAACTTAGCTTGATCCCATATAACTATTTTTTTTATAAGAGAATCCATATAACTATATTTGTTTTTATAGATTGAGAGAAATTTAGAAGATTTTCTCATATTTTTTAAAATCAAAAGAATTCAAATTGAAATATCATTGTGAAATGAAGGGAGTATCAATCTAAATCGTACAAAGAGTCCACATAACAATGGATAAATAAGATGGGTCTTTTGTCAAAAACTATTTTGAATTTTTAATACAAGTAGGGTACGGTGATTTTTATGTTTGAGTAACGGATATAAAATGACTAATCAAATGAGTTTTAACGGGTTATTTCAATTGTTAAATAATCGCTAGAGACGAGATCAAATCATATCTTGACATCTATTTATGGAAGGGACGTCGTACAAGCGTGATTTACTACACTAGACAAAGGCATCATCTGGTGAAAACAATAACTAGCCAGAATTGCAAGAATTGAAAATCCATTACAATGATGTGGATGGTGATGCCGTATTTGTTGGATTATGTGATTGTGATAGAACACTTGTCTCTGAAATAGAAACTACTTACAAATAGAACAAGGACAATCAAACAAAAACAAATAAACATAAAGTTGAACAATACTAGTATACCAAGGATTGTAACAAGGAGAATAATTATTTACATAGATGTACTCACAAAATATCAAAATCAAACCTTTTTGTTCAAATAATTTACATATAAAATATAAATAAGCAAACAAGAATATATACTTTCATGAAATTGGACTAACAAGTTCATAGTGTACTTAGTAACGAACTAACGATACAAATCTCTTTCTAAAAGTGTGTGCCAATGCGTTATCTTATAACTTATGGTTGAACCATCAATCCATCTTCTTTACCGTCTTAGAGAATAGTGTAGTCTTCTTAGCACAACAGACCTATAAAACACCCTTGTTCGGAAGAACAAAGTAAGAGCAACAATAAACCCCAAGAAGCTAACAAATGCCAACACAAAGAAGGATACCATGAAGCAATGAACACCAAGGCATGAATTATGCTCCCCTGCTTCTTCGTCGTAGATATGGCCAATCACCCAAACAGACAGAACATAAGTTCCCAAAGGATTTGCCATAGCAATGGCATTGTATATAGTTCCCATATGCAAAACACCGAAGATTTCCGAAGTTATAGTAGGCATTAAACTCCACAATGCACCATAACATATTCCCACCAAGATTGTACCTATGTACAAATTTCCAAAGAATCCTGAACCAATGATCACATGTCCTATAGTCATTGCTCCTAGCGCGACAACCATGACCAATGGCCTAGCCCATCCTCTTCGTCGTAGTAGGATATCAGATATATATCCTGCTCCAAATCGACCAAAGAAGTTCCATATCGACCATAGTGACACCAATGTATTAATCTTGCTTGTGTTATAACTAAGTGATTGGCCTAATTGGCTCATGTTGTTTATAGTGGCAAGACCCGAACCCATTCCACATAATATAGCAAGAAACAATAGCCAAAAATTGATGCTTCCCATAGCTTCCAAGATATTCATGCTTTCTTGACACAATTCGACGTTTTCTTCACCCACTAGGCTCTTCTCTGGCTCGTTTGAATCATTTGAGTCATAGAGTAATGGTTCTGTTTTTAGGAGAAGTGGTTGAGATTTCTCCTTCTTGTTTGCCTCAGTCGCGATTTTTAGAGGTAAAGAGAGGAATAATATAAGGACTAGAAAGTTTAGAAGGCGCGCCCAATGGGGGAACACTAGAATGTCTTCTAAGATGAGGATGATCATAAGATATGCAGCAAGAAGCATTGAGACTATGGACATAGAATTTAGGTGGTTTTTGTCTTCTGATGTTTTATTTGGACATAATTTCACTAAATATATGAGAGATAATGAGACTATACTTGGTAACAATGCAAGCATTAGTATGTATGTGCTTGGATTTCCCTTGAAAAATGCTTTGTATACTTGGATTAAGATTGCTCCACTTAGTCCTAGGAAACCCTGTTCGAAAACTAGAATTAGATGAGCAATTAATCGACATAATTTTGTATTAAGATACTAATACGACTTAGTTAACACTCAAATATTTCTTATCAAATGTTAACTCGTGCCCATGGTTAAATTAATTGGTTGTATATTAATTTCTAATAGGTTTTCCTAATCAAGACGAATCCAATAAAAATTAAGCAAAAAGTAGAGTAATTATTAAAGAATTAGAAACATAAAAGTAGAGTGTTTCTTTTTTATTGCAGAATTAGAAACATAAAACATTTTATTATTTTGAATTTTAGACATATGGTGTACTAATGTACTTCATCTTTTCAAAAAAGTGCATAGCTCATTATTGCCTTTTTCATTAGATCGCGTCAAGAAATTAATTTATTTTATGAAGATTGGATATGATTAAACTTTAAAATTATATTCAAAAAATTACGAGTATTGAAGTTTTTTTTTTCCCTCTAGGAAAATACGAGTATTGAAATTGATCAAGTCATTAAGAATGTATAAATATCGATAGTAGCTTTGGAATAATTAAAACACTATTTGTTTACTAGGCCTTATATGACTGTTCAACGAATCCTTTACATAAGAATAACAATGTAACATACGATTTACGACTTTTTTTTTTTTGAAAAAAAAAAAAAAAAAAAACATTATTTTTTTTTATTTTTTTTTTAGCTCAATCAAACATACGATTGGCGTTTGATAATTTCCTCCAACAGTACCTTTTGCTGTTGGTCTGTTGTTCAACTTGCCTTCTCTTTATTGTGAAAATGTGAAGGGAATAAATTAAACGTGCTTTAAAAAAAAAAAGGAATAAATTAAACGTTATCTTCTATAAAAGCATTTTTTTGTTTAGTGTTTGACATTATTTATCCAAAAGCACCTTTTATATATTCTCTCCAGCTTTTACTTAAATTTTTCGTGAATTATTCCAACAGCAAAATCACCTAATGAAAATTAGGTAGTGTGTGTCAATTAATCGATTTAGCGGGTAAAAGTATTAAAAGTAGAATTCAAGATTTCAAGTGTAATTTTACCACAGTTAAGTCTTTATTCTTCTCATTTTGCAAGTTCATCAATTATTAGTTATATCTAGATTAATTACTAAAATAACGAACAATTATTATGACAACTACTTTTGTCAAACATGTCCTATACTTATGAAATAACCCCTTTCAAACCCGTAAACGAAAAAGACATACCTTCATAAGACAACAGTTCCGCTACAATCAGGGAAATTCTGGACAGACGTAACAACATTCCAAGTATTGAAATATGTTTGAGAATGAGCAGCAAGGAACATGAACACACACATCAAAGCCACAGGTGGGCGTGGGATAATTCCAACAACAGCTAACCACATAAGAAAGTAACCCAAGAACCCCTCGACCGCCCCCACCACATGAACCATCCAGGGCACGCCATTACCACGGTTGTTCCCCGAGGTAGCCGTGGTATATAAGAGACCGGCTAAGACCCCGGCGTTTGCACCTATATCTTTAAACACCGAGACGGTGTCTAGGGTGGACTGATCATAGGATTGTGAGGATTTAAGTATAGGAGAATACGTGCTAAAAGTGTACGTACCACCTAGTATTGCTTGTATCCATATACTTGCAGCTGTTGCAATCCATCTACTACTGCTTCTACTAATTATGGAGTCATCCATTGTACTTCATTAACTTTTCTTTGATAAATTTCTGATTTTGGTTATGATTTGAGAGAAATGGTAGGAGCTTATATTATAGTGTCGTATGCTATGAGAATTGGAATAAGGACAACGTACATATAACTGTATAACCTATGATATGATCGATATGAATTTTGTGCATGGCCTACATGTGAACATTATTATTGTAGGGAGGAGTAGTAAAAGAGTTTCTGGCCTTCTCCATCTTAATATCTTATATAATTTCCTTTGAGATAATTTATATGGACCATATCTACCCTTGTGGTCTCAAGTCTTATTTTTCTTTCAACGTTACATCTAACATGATCTTAGTTCTTTAGGGGTGTATGTGTATGTGACAGCAAAAACAAAAGGATCCCTTGGTGTAGAAGTTATAAGTTCATGTGAAATCTTTAAATTTACATCCCTCATTCGTCTATTTAATCAAAGTTACTATCAATCTTTGTAAGAAGTTATATGAAGTTGATTCAGAATTCACACGATTAAGTTTCTCGCTTTAAAAATTGATTTGACATATTACGGATATGAGAACAAACTAATTTTCAATGGTTCACTCAATTAAAAAAAAAAAAAAAAGTGAATATAATTCTAGAAAAACACATACTGTATTCCCTCCATCTATCATTTAAAGATTGTACATGCAATTTCAATTTTCGCTATATCAAAAAGGTACACATGACAAACTCAAAGGAACATCCCAAACTAATATACTCTATACTCCTTACAAGACAATCATCGGGATATGGGGAGATTAGTAACTTAGAGAATAGAGGTGTAAAAAACTAATCCTAAAATTGACCCGAAAAAACCAAATTCAGATTTTAACTTGTATGGACATATTAATTTAGCATGACTTCTATTGAAAATAGACCTGACTCAAACCAACCTCTTCAAACCCGACTCAAACATTCAAATTGACACCTATCCTATCGAAGAGGCAAATCAACCTGGAAAGGCCGTTAATGTTGTTCAACTCACTACTCTATAGTCTACACCTTCTTCACCTTATCTAAAAATAAGACAAAGTGGTCACTTGTCAATATACCGCCAAACAAACGCGTATTAGAGATTGAAACATGCAATTTTAGAGGTCGAATTACCATCAAGAAGGATAAGCACGTAAGGCGTGATAGTAGCAATAAAAACACACATAAACATAGGCGTCAACTGGTGAAAATTACAACTGGCCTGGTGCATGTACAAGAACTCAAATTTTTGCTTTGCTTTTGAGCTACACAAATTTCATACTCCAATAATGTTTGAATTTATTTTACAACTACTAATGCTTGTATTGGTTCAAATTTGGCCAAGTGTACTTTCATATAGCCTTTCAACATTCACCATTTTTTCTATTATAGGACAAATGTAGTTCAAAATATCAGTACAATATGTATTTTTTTCTTTTTCTTTTTCTTTTGCTAAGTTATAATTGATTGGAACACCGTACTCTTTTCTATCCCGTACTAGATTTTGGCCTATAAAAACAATACATGCTCTCTTAAGGTTTGTTCTCATATGTTTATTTTCAGCTCAGCTCAGTTCAGCTCTTAATTTCCTTCTCTTATAAAATATTCATTTCAGTTCAGTTCAGTTCAGCTCAGCTCAGCTCAACTGAGTTTAGTTAATGAGACAGGTTGTTAATCTCTTTAAGAAAACTAGCAACATATGAGTAATATCATAGGTTTTAGGCGTGTATAAGAAAATTCAATTTCTTTGTGATTAAGAATGTTGTTGCACAAATATTTATAATGTCCTCAACAGTCTAAGGTACAATGGTTTGGTTATACCCAATATTTCATCATTACTCAATCATTTTAACATACGATTATATTTTGAAAAATTGTAAACCGTTACTCCCTTAAATTTGTTGTCTCCGTTAACTTTTAATGATCTTTGAGGTAACGAATAGGGACATAGAGAGTACTCCTTTTTTTGTTTGGGGGTGGTTTAGAGATCCATTAGGACGGATGATGAGAATTGATCCTATTATTCATGGAAATAAAGTAAGGAAGCTCAACCACTCGAATTATCCTCACTTTTTCTTCTTTAGTGTGTGCTAAGATAACATGGCCAAAAAAAATAATTATTTAATCAACCTCGGCATATACCGACCTTCAAAATTTTAGAAGTAATTTAGCAAGTTCTCTTAGTATAGTGAAATATAGTTTAAATAGAGCAATTATATATGTTTACATGCTGAAACTACGCGAAATCTCTATTATGCACCAGAGTGCACAAACGTTGGTTTTTAGTGTTATAATTATTTACTACTTCGTATTTGTTAATGTATATTGGCCACTCAGAGAGATATAAGCAAAAATTACCAAATGAGCTAACTATCCTTGGGCAGGGGTGGTTCTAAGCATGTGCAGGGTGGTCGATCACACAGGATCCCTAAGTGAAACTATTATAAAAGGGTCCCTTTTTTTTTTTTGGACGGCAAAGAAACTTGTAAATTAATAATCTATTCTTCAATTTTATCATAAAATTAATAATTAATTAAAATAATTTTCCTTAAAGAAGTAATTTTAGGGCCCAATTTAACAAAATTGCATTGGGTCATTTCCAATGTTAGCATTTGTAGCCCATCCTCTGCCCTTGGGTGTAACTTATACTAAGGTAGTAAACTAGCATATATGCAACAATAAATTCTTTGAAACTAGCTAATTTAGCCGGTCAAGTAATAACAAATGAAATAATCTATGAATGCTAACAATTAAGTAGTTAACTAGCTTAATTGTTAAAATTTTTGTACTCGGGCAATTCATACATAGAAAACCATCATTGACATTTGACAAACAGAATAGCTAGCATAAGAAACATCTAATGCATGATTCTTAAGTTGAAAGCTATATATACAAAATCAACAAAATAAATGAGAAGACCGACGTATGTACCTTCATAAGCCCAACAGCGGTCCCACTATAATCAGGAAAATTCTGAACAGACGTAACAACATTCCAAGTATTAAAGAAAGTTTGTGAATGTGCTGCAAAAAACATGAACACACACATTATAGGCACGGGTGGCCGAGGGATCACCCCAACCACAGCCAACCACATGAAGAAATAACCCAAGAACCCCTCGGCCGCCCCCACCGTATGTACCACCCAGGGCACACCCGCATTGCGGTTATGCCCTGGGGATACGGCGGAGTATAAAAAGCCAGATAGAACCCCGGCATTTGAACCAATGTCTTTGAAGACCGACACGGTGTTTAAGGTGAATTGATCATAGGATTGGGATGATTTAAGGATTGGTGAATATATGCTAAATGTGTACGTCCCACCAATTATTGCTTGTATCCATATGCTAGCTGCTGTTGCTGCCCATCTACTATTACTACTAATCATAGAATTTTCCATTGATTGCATGTACAAGTTTTAATTTCTGTTTATGAGGCAGGAAATTTGGAATGGATTAAATAGAGATGGATTTATTTATGTTACATTAAAATGTGTATAATTATGGATGTCGTATAAATTGTGGTATGTTTATTGTACTGTTTATGATATTGATTGGTTAAATAATTAATTAAGTGGAGTATTATAATTGTTAAGTGGAGTAAAAGATCGAATTTCTCTTATGTTTAGTCATTATCTATCAAGAAGACAAAGGAACCTGATATAATTGACTATATGATGACTTATAAGTTTTATAATTAGTTGATCAAATCTTATTCTGCCTTAATTGCTGGGAGAATTTTTGTGTTAATCTCAATGTAAATTCTTGATTTTGGGTTAATATGGTGGTGCATGCAACCTAGCTATTTGTAATATAACTTGTACTCTTAAAATCTACTTCGTATGAAAGATTTTTAGCTAAGGTACTTTGATAGTTGGTTTAGAGTTGGTGACACTAAAGACTTAAGGATTACAAGTACAATAATAATAATTACTAAGTGTATGTGACACTTTGTTTTGCATTGTTCACTAGAATTTGGCGGTCCTCTAGGTCATCGACAATTAATGTGTATATGTGGTAGGATTACGGGAAGAAGATTTTTCTTTTAGCGAAAGTGATGGATATCGAACTTATGATAAGCACATTTGATGGTAATGAAAAAAATTAAAGTTATAGGGGTTACTATTAATTTTATCAGTTAATTAAACACGATAATAAACTCCAATAATGCACTTAGTCAATCATAATTATAAACCAAAATAATCAATGGGGTACAAAAAAATAACCAAACTATATATCAATTACTCGGCCAATTGACCAGATTGGTAAATAAAAAAGATCCTTAGCGACAATTTGGTAAAAAAATTTACTCCGGCGACAAATTGGTAAAAAAACTAACCCTAAGCGACAATTTGGTAAATAAAATAATCTCAGGCGACAATTAACTCAAAAAATACAAAAAATTTCGATAAATTACTCGCGAATGCTTAATATAGTTCGTTTTTCTTGTTATTTTACCAACCCTTTTTTTTTACGGAAATAACAATTTGAAGAAAAAAAAAACGTTAAGTATCAATTTTCACTTACGTTTCATACCCCTTATTCACGAATTTTTTTTAAAAAGGGGTTGGAAATAAAAAGGGATGACATGTAAATTCAAAATTTTAAATGGAAAAAATAAATTTAAGAACACAAAATAAATTAAAATAGGATTTTTAAATAGTTTGTCGGGAAAAAAATAGATTTTTTGGTCTAAATGTCGCCGGAATTTATTATTTTTACCAAATTGTCACATATTGTTAGCTTTTTTTACCAAACTGTCGCCGGAATAAATTTTTTTACCAAATTGTTGCTAGGGGTCTTTTTTATTTACCAATCTGGTCAATTGGCCCAATTACTCAAACAATTTAGCTATTTGGCTCCGTAAGTAACGATCTTTTGCCTAGGGCATAATTAATGCAACCAAACGCCTAAAAGTTAATCCAAAAATAAGACATGATCTACTTCAATTCTTTAATTTTCTCATTGAACGACCTTTCATTATTACTAATGTTATAAGATTATAACCTTTTTTTTTTTTTTTTTTTTTTTAATATTAGTTGTGTCAATTGTCTAATAAGTCTCTTCAGCCTCAGAAATCAACACTTGATTAATTAGACAAATATTTTTAAACATTTTAAAATAGTACTTTATACGTGTAAAACAGACTATCAACTACTCCGTACTCCATATTGGATTCATATTGTGTTCCAAAAGACAAAAATAATGCAAGGTAGTAGTAACGTCCGAGACCAGGAGAGTGGAAATAGAAGCAGGACAAAACTCAGTAGTTTTAGTCTAACATCAGTATCACTATATCAGGAAACATGGAATGGATCATCTAACTAACGTTAATTCGTAATTGAAATGATGATTTTATGCCATTTTTCCATCAATAAATGGCACGTAATACACTACTAAATACTAATGCATGATTTGTGTCAACAAGCATGACCTTTACTGGTGAAAAAGAAAAAAAAAAAAAAAAAAAAAAAAAAACATACGTAATTGTCGCGTACAAGAATCCTGGGTAACACAATTCAACTACGTTAAAGTACAACAATTATATTATTTTTAGTTGATTTGCTTGGCTTTTAAGCTACAATCTAATTAGATACAAAACGTATAATCAGCTAATTAAATATATTTCATCATGATGATCGAATGATCGATGATGCTACGCTCTACCTTCAACTCACGTACGAAGTACTGCCTTAAATTAATTGAGAAAAAATTTACTGTATTTTGTGATTTTTATTTATTTAAACATAACTAAAGTCATATAATAAGACCCTTTATTTACTGGTCATATCAAATTATTTTCAGTTCATTTTTACTCTAATAAGTTTAATTCAGTTCAGCTCAGATCCTAATTTTCTTCTCTCATGTAATATTCAGTTCAGTTCAGCTCTAATAAGTTCAATTCAATTCAGTTCAACTCTAATAAGTTCAATTCAATTCAGTTCAGTTCAGTTCAGCTCAGCTCAGCTCAGTCAATGAGAACAAACCCTGAGATTTAATTGTATTCATTTTATTGTGCGGTATTCAAATATCAACTTTTCATTATTAAATTCAAATTTCGAACTATGTTATGTAATTATATAATTATTATCATACAGTGTATATGTTTAGGACACTGCACGTTGCACAAAATTGATTAATGTTATGCTAATTTGGAATATATGGTACTCGTAGTAATGTGGGTTCAGCCGAGACAATATTTGTAACTTTGTAAGATTTTAATGAGTATAAGTAGTACTGTCAAAAACCGAACCGAACCGGGGAAACCGAACCGATTCAAACCGATCCGAATGAGAACCGAACCGTTTAGAAACCGCTTTTTTTAAACCGAAAACCGACCCGAACCGCATTTTAGTGAACCCGAAACCGAACCGATTCGAGTAACGTTAAACCGTTTAAGAACCGAACCAAAATCTAAACCGAACTGAAAGGAAACCGAACCGAAAATGAACCGAACCGTTTCTAACCCGAAACCGTTTGAACTGCCATAAAAACCGTTATAAACCGAACCGTTTATAAACCGAACCGTTTATAAACCGAACTGATTATAAACCGAACTGTTTATAAACCGAACCGTTTATAAACCGAACTGATTATTAACCGAACCGTTTATAAACCGAACCGCTTATAAACCAAAATGTTTATGAACCGAATCGCTTATAAATCAAACCATTTACAAACCACTTACTACTAGGAGTGGTTATTGGGCGGGTCAATGCGGGTCATTAGCGGGGCGAGTACGTTGCGGGTAAAGGTCAAGTCAGGGTCAAGATAAAAGTGAAACGGGCTATTAACTTCTACTTTCTTTTATCAGTTCCTGTGTTGCCAGTGAGAATGCTCTTAATATTTGTCAAGCAAATCGTTACTACTTTTTTTTAGTTTGATGACTCTCATTACAGTAGAATTATATAACTACAACAAAAATAATAACCAATAATTCAAGACAAATAAGGAACAAAATATCAATAATGTAATGTGATTAAAACTATTAATATTTGTTCTATGAGATTAAAACATTTTAGCAAAAGCCTGAACCACAATTCCATATCTTAACTAGATGCAAAACTTTCATCTATCACTTCTTTACCAATGTCAAGGACGTCTTCTTCAATATCACAATCATAACCACGTAACCAATTTTGTGTTGTAACCAACGCCTCAACATTCTTAGGCAAAAGCGCACTCCTATACTTGTTTAAAATACGACCACCCATGCTAAAAGAAGACTCAGAGGCTACCGATGTAATAGGAATGGCCAAAACATCCCTAGCCATAACAGCTAATATGGGGTACACACTAATTTGAGATTCCCAATACTTGAGAACATCATATTTCTGCCCTTCATAAATTGGTTGCCGAGGAGTACACAAATAAGAATCAATCTCCATCGATGGCCGATTTGATGGGCCATCCTCATCATCATCATCATCAACATACTAGAAAAGTTCAAACAAAATGCTTTATTAAATAATAAAAATTAAAACATACAATTATTAATTTTGTAAACCACAATAAACAGAAATTGATTACCTTGAATATGTCATCATCCAAGTGACTATTTGATTTATCGATAACAGCTGGGATGGAGGGTGGAACAATTGTACTTGATGTAACACCGAAAGACATAGAATAATAAAAGTTGTACAACTCCAAAAGAGCATCTTTAATTACCTTCGCCTTTTCAACACATGCCTCATCAACATAAAGCACTTTTAACATCTTCGTCACTCGAACAAGCTTATAGCGTGGATCAAGAACAATAGCAATTGAAAGGATCAAACTATATTCATCCCAATAGCCCTCAAACTTTTCAAGCATAACTTTTGCCATGGGTGCAAGTTTAGGGTCTATATGCGCTTTACTTATTGTGTGCTCAATTTTTAAAACACTAGCGAAATACAAATTTGCAGTAGGATATTCTGAACCAGAAAATAACACAGTGATTTCATAAAATGGCTTTAAGAAATTACATATTTTAGTAAGGGTATCCCATTCATCATCCGAAAGTTTGAATTCATAACCCATAAACCTATCGATAACCAATTTCAAGGCTTCCTTTGCTTCTAAAGCTTTTCGGAGCATCGTATAGGTGGCATTCCAACGAGTCACAACATCAAGACGTAACTTTCCATTAAACACACAGTTAACCTCATGAAGAGCATGCTCAAATTGAGTGAGTCTAGAGTCTGAAGAATCAATATATTTACAAACCTCACGCAATTTTTGAACACTACTATCAACTTCTTTTAAACCTCTTTGAACAATAATGTTCAAGACATGAGCTGAACATCGAATATGAAAAAATTTACCATTACAAGGAAGAGGAGAAGTCAACATTAAATCTTTCTTCAAAAGGTTAACCATAACATCCATGGATCGAGCATTATCAACAGTCATTGCAAAAGCTTTACCCTGAAGGTTCCACTCCCCAATAAGTTTTAACACAAATTTTTCTACCTCAACACCAGTATGAGGAGGACCAC